GGGTCGGTGTCGTACTAGCACGTATAAATTCTAGCACCTTCAAATCTAGCGAGAGAATGCTGGTAGCCCTACATATGAAAGAATGGGTCTATGTGGTCAGTGTGCACAGTATAAAAAAAAATCCTGCAACCCACAGTGCATAACGAGAAAAAAAAAATGATCGTATTTTTGGTTTAAAACAGCGACTTTGCAGTGCATTTTCGTATGCTATTTATGGCTGTATTCTCCTTTTCCTGGTCTCAATTTATAGAATGGAAGGCATATTATAGAAATTGAGATGATTTTGATTGGTTTCACAATGAAAAGTACCTTGAAATTGAGCTCCAAGTAGCAGAAATGTTTGATTTTTGCCAATGTTCAAAGGTAAACAAATTATGCCATGTGTCCAATACACGTCAACTGGTGAGTCTAATATTCTTTCACAAGTGCTCTGATATTATTTATACCATTTCTACACTAATGCAGTAGTCTGCATAACAGCAAATCTTCTATTTTTTGGGGAGAATAAAAATTCAAAGTGGAAAGCAAAAGAAATGTAAGAGGGGCCTGGGGACATGACTAATGAACAGAGGAAATGTCTGTCTTGTTTATTCTGGACCCTATTTGGAAACTGGCATCTTTTGAAATTTGCATGAAATTGTCGAAATTGCCAATTTCTGACCCCTTTATTGGATAATGAAATCAGTAAATGGGTGGTTTCTTGTACTCATTCGATAGAACAAATGGAGTTCTAGCGAAATAGTTATGATTACTGTCGACTGGTACATTCGTATTGGTTGAAAATAGGGCTCAAAAAGGGCAAAATCGCCGATGCGTAAACATCGTTGAGACTGCTAACTTCGCAAAAGCATAATTCCCTAAATTTTCCATCAAATTTCTTACTTTTGGTGTCGTTATGATCAGAAAAAGATTCTCTATCATTTCATAAGAAAAAATATTTTTTTTTTTTTTTTTTTTTTTTTTCAAAAAATTTTCGACCCTGAGAACAAGTCTACAAGAGGGCCTCTCGGCCCAGAAAAAAGGTTAAATGTTAATCTCTTGATACTGACATTCAAATGAAAGTATGTCCAGAAAGCAGAGATGCTTGAGCATGAAAAATCCAACAAGGCAAAGTTTTAAAGAAAATTTTATGGCTGATTTACAATTTAGGAATCAAGCGCCATAACAAAAGAAAATGGATAATAAAAACACAGTTTAGAAACCACACAAGAGAGGTTTTTTAGTGCCAGGAAGGAAAAAAAAAAACTGGCAGGAAATGGCAGAAATCGTACACCAAATCCAGTCATTCCTGGAGTGGAACCACAGTCGATGGCCTCCACTCCAAACCAACAGATACAGATACTAATGCCGGAAAAAAAATCCCCCCCCAGTACCAACAATACCACCAGTCCGATAACATTCTTCTTTGCAAATATACAGGGTCTAAAGCCAGCAACAAACAACAAAATACCTTTCATCCGTGGACTGCTTGCAGAGGCAAAGGCAATGTTCGCGGCTTTCACTGAGACCCACATAAAGGATCACTTGGACAACAAAATATGGATCCCAGGTTACAACCTATACAGATGTGACAGAGTGAACAGGCAAAAGGAGGGGGTTGGCCTGTACATTGCAGAGTCACTTGTTTGCACAAAACTGCTAAATGCCTCAAATGATGTAGTGGAAGTTTTAGCAGTAAAGGTCGAGAACCAAAACCTAGTCATTGTGGTAGTCTACAAGCCTCTGGATGCAACATCCCAGCAATTCCAGGAACAGCTGTTAAAAATTGACCACTGTCTGGAAAATCTTCCAGCTCCTGCACCCAACATCTTGCTCCTGGGGTATTTCAACTTAAGGCACCTAAAATGGAGGAATATAGCAAATAATATTATTGCAGTAATAACACAGAGGCAGCTCTGATGAAAACTCACACTCACGCGAGCTCTTAAATCTCTGCACAAAATTCAATTTAATTTAAAAAAAAAAAAAAAAAAAAAAAATTAAATTGAATTTTATGCAGAGATTTAAGAGCTCGCGTGAGTGTGAGTTTTCATCAGAGCTGCCTCCTGGTGTTATTACTGCAACAATATTATTTGCTATATTCCTCCATTTTAGGTGCCTTAAGTTGAAATCCCCCAGGAGCAAGATGTTGGGTGCAGGAGCTGGAAGATTTTCCAGACAGTGGTCAATTTTTAACAGCTGTTCCTGGAAATAATAGAGCCTACTAGACTGGAGAATACACTAGACCTCATCTTCACTAACAATGATGATCTGATAAGAAATGTCACCATATCAAAAACAATATACTCAGATCACAACATAATTGAGGTTCAGTCATGTATGCGTGGAGCCCCAGACCGACATAATGAGATTAGTCACGAGGGAGCATTCACCAAATTCAACTTCAATAACAAAAACATAAAGTGGGACCAAGTAAACCAAGTCCTAACCGATATAAACTGGGAAGATATACTAAGCAACACAGACCCCAACTTATGCCTAGAACAGATTAACTCGGTGGCACTCAATGTATGCACAAGGCTTATTCCTCTAAGAAAAAGGAGGAGTAGCTGTAAAAATTCCGTCGCCTTAAGGCGACGGAAAAGAATAACAGAGCGGCTAAAAGAGGTCAATATATCTGAAATGCGTAGGGAGACACTGGTCAGAGAAATAGCAAGCATCGAACTTAAGCTAAAAGACTCCTTTAGGAGTCAGGAATTGCGGGCGATAAATGACATGCCCATGCACTCTGCCCCAGGGCCAGACTCATGGAACTCTGTGTTCATCAAGAACTGCAAGAAGCCCTATCACGAGCCTTTTCCATCCTATGGAGAGGGAGCATGGACACGGGGGTCGTCTCACAGTTACTAAAAACAGCAGACATAGCCCCACTCCACAAAGGGGGCAGTAAAGCAACAGCAAAGAACTACAGACCAATAGCACTAACATCCCATATCATAAAAATCTTTGAAAGGGTCCTAAGAAGCAAGATCAACCACCCATCTAGAAACCCATCAGTTAAACAAACCCAGGGCAACATGGGGTTTAGAACAGGTCGCTCCTGTCTGTCTCAACTATTGGATCACTACGACAAGGTCCTAAATGCACTAGAAGACAAAAAGAATGCAGATGTAATATATAAAAGACTTTTCAAAAGCCTTCGACAAGTGTGACCATGGCGTAATAGCGCACAAAATGCGTGCTAAAGGAATAACAGGAAAAGTCGGTCGATGGATCTATAATTTCCTCACTAACAGAACACAGAGAGTAGTCGTCAACAGAGTAAAGTCCGAGGCAGCTACGGTGAAAAGCTCTGTTCCACGAGGCACAGTACTTGCTCCCATCTTGTTCCTCATCCTCATATCCGACATAGACAAGGATGTCAGCCACAGCACCGTGTCTTCCTTTGCAGATGACACCCGAATCTGCATGACAGTGTCTTCCATTGCAGACACTGCAAAGCTCCAGGCGGACATCAACCAAATCATTCAGTGGGCTGCAGAAAACAATATGAAGTTCAACGATGAGAAATTTCAATTACTCAGATATGTAAACATGAGGAAATTAAATCTTCATCAGAGTACAAAACAAATTCTGGCCACAAAATAGAGCGGAACACCAACGTCCAAGACCTGGGAGTGATCATGTCGGAGGATCTCACCTTCAAGGACCATAACATTGTATCAATCGCATCTGCTAGAAAAATGACAGGATGGATAATGAGAACCTTCAAAACTAGGGAGGCCAAGCCCATGATGACACTCTTCAGGTCACTTGTTCTATCTAGGCTGGAATATTGCTACACACTAACAGCACCTTTCAAGGCAGGTGAAATTGCCGACCTAGAAAATGTACAGAGAACTTTCACGGCGCGCATAATGGAGATAAAACACCTCAATTATTGGGAGCGCTTGAGGTTCCTAAACCTGTATTCCCTGGAACGCAGGAGGGAGAGATACATGATTATATACACCTGGAAAATCCTAGAGGGACTAGTACCGAACTTGCACACGAAAATCACTCACTACGAAAGCAAAAGACTTGGCAGACGATGCACCATCCCCCCAATGAAAAGCAGGGGTGTCACTAGCACGTTAAGAGACCATACAATAAGTGTCAGGGGCCCGAGACTGTTCAACTGCCTCCCAGCACACATAAGGGGGATTACCAACAGACCCCTGGCAGTCTTCAAGCTGGCACTGGACAAGCACCTAAAGTCAGTTCCTGATCAGCCGGGCTGTGGCTCGTACATTGGTTTGCGTGCAGCCAGCAGCAACAGCCTGGTTGATCAGGGTCTGATCCACCAGGAGGCCTGGTCACAGACCGGGCCGCGGGGGCGTTGACCCCCGGAACTCTCTCCAGGTAAACTCCAGGTATGTGAAAATCAAGTATTTATAGGAATACCCAATGAAGTTTGCTTCAATACACTTAATATATGAAAATACTGTAAATATATGAGGTGTTGTGCAACAGAAAAGAACTGGTGCCACCACAGCCAAAATCCAGGTTAATGAACAAATTGGTTCCTTAATGTTTCAAGTTTGTGAGAATGTGTAGACATTTTGTGCATCTGTAACTTAGGCTTAGAACCCCATAACAGAGTACACCTACCATCCGACTTACGACCTGCTCGACATACGACCACTCGACTTACGACCGTGTTTTGTATGCCAAATTTCTGGGAAATAAACAACTGTTTGTGTTGTACACAGTGTTTATCCTAAACCTTACAGTATAAAATACAGTAAAAAATTAAATACCAAAATAAAACAATAAAACAGTCATTACAAAAATGTGATGTTGATATTCAGTAGTAAGGTTCGACTTACGTCCATTTCGACTTACGACCGGTTGGTCGGAACCAAGTTCAGTCGTAAGTTGGATGGTACCTGTATAGTAATTTGAGCCTCATAGTTTTGATCTTCCCCACACCTGCATTTTCTCCACAGTTCAAACTTGGCACCTAATTCCTTTTCCTGCTGCACAATGCCTCATAAAAATAAAAATGAAACTGGACTTACAAATTTTCGTCTACTTGTACTTCATCTTTCCTGGTGACGCCAGAATTCTGATGCAACTCCATATCTCTCTCTAAACGTTCTTCACGTGACAGAGCTAAAATAAATAAAACAGAATGCATTAGGAAAATAACAATAATTTTTACTTACCATTTTACACAACAAAAGATGGCAACAATAATAATTACAGTGAAACCTCAGTCATCGAACTTAATTTGTTCCAGATGTCAGTTCTACAACCAAACCAATGAAAATTTAACTGAAATACAGCCCCTCCTCACTTAACGACAGAGTCTTGTTCCTAAGACCACGTCGGTAAACAAATTTGTTGCTAAGTGAGGAGCACACTATAATGGTAGTGGGTTTGTGTCAACCATCTCTGATACTGTTTTAATGTCACATTTGCACCATCTATAACATTTTTGGTATATTTTAAAATGTTTATACAGTAGTTTACTGTACAGTAGGGTCCCGCTTTTCGGCATTCCGCCAATACGGCGATCTCAAATTATGACCAAAACTTTCTATACAGCAAGTGGTCTTTCAAATACAGGGCGTGCCACTCGGTTTGGTTACATTCTCCATGAGCACATCTCTATTATGTAATAATAATCACTCTTGGGCACATTAAATGTCTAATTTTACGTCAATATAGACATTTTCATTAATTCATCTATGACGTTTTCTTCAAAATTATATAAGAAACCCATTACATAGCATATAGCTATTGCATATAAACATGCAATGTTTATATGCTATCGAGTGGTGAGTACCGGCGAAACAAGGGAGGGAGGGAGGAAGGTGGAGGGTAAACATTACGTTTTCTCTGATTTCAGAGTTAGAGAAAACTGTGAATCTGGCGTCTGGTCCAGTCACCGCCCTTCATAAGCATTTGTTTACAATTCTCAGCATGAATTATTCATTACTTCTCCCTTTGTCTATGATGGCATCTAAAGGTAGTTGTTAGAAATTATTAAACTCAGTGAACATGTTATGTCAATGTAATAATATGATGTGTAGTGTAATAATATGGCTGTGTAGTATAGCCCAGGAGGCTACATACGTGTACCTTCATCTACCGGCTACTAACACTGAATTCCGACAAATAAATACTACTCACCTCTTGCTCTACATTAAGACTACAAATACAGTGGACCCCCGGTATTCGATATTAATCCATTCCTGAGAGCTCATCGAATACCGATAATATCAAAAACCGAATCAATTTTCCTCATAAGAAATAATGGAAATCAAATTAATCCGTGCAAGACACCCAAAAGTATGAAAAACAAAATTTTTACTACATTAAATAATAAGTTTAATGCAATAGAATAATTACAATAACAATAAAATAATTGATACTTACCTTTAATGAAGATCTGGTGATGATTGATGGGAGGAGGGGAGAGGTGTTAGTGTTTCGAAGGAGAATCCCCTTCCATTAGGACTTGAGGTAGCAAGTCCTTTTCTGGGGTTACTTCCCTTCTTCTTTTAATGCCACTAGGACCAGCTTGAGAGTCACTGGACTTCTGTCGCACAACATAACTGGCAGCCTCACCATGCCGAATCACACTATGTATGCCACTACGATTCTTAAATCTTTCAAACCAACCTTTGCTGGCCTTAAATTCACTCACATCACCATTAGTTGCAGGCAATTTCTTTACCAAATCGTCATGCAACTGCCTAGCCTTTTCACAAATGATCGCTTGAAAGATGCTATCTCCTGCTATCTGTTTTTCATTTATCCACACCAGTAACAATCTCTCAACATTTTCTAACACTTGCGGTCGCTGTTTCGTAATCACAGTTGCACCTTTTACAAGAACAGCTTCCTTGATTGCCGTTTTCCTGGTCACTATAGTAGAGATGGTTGATTGGGGTTTATTATACAACCTGACCAGCTCCGACACACGCACTCCACTTTCGTACTTTGCAATTATCTCTTTCTTCATTTCATAAGTCATTAGCGACTTTTTTCTTGAAGGGTTGGCACTAGAAGCTTTCTTGGGGCCCATGGTGACTTATTTTGCAGAAACAAGCACCAAACACAGTGATAATATGGATAATATGGAATGTACCGAATGTATCCTTAGATGCGCGCACACTGGCTGGCTTGTGAACACTGGCACACACGGAGCAGTTCAGGCCACACGTGGACAGGTCTCGTACGAATCGTATCGAATACCGGGTTTTCAATCGAATACCGAGGAAAAAATTTTGCGTTAAAATGCATCGAAAACCGGATTTATCGAAAACCGATGACATCGAATACCGGGGGTCCACTGTACTTTAAGTAATGAATGTACTGTGGCAATATCAAAGCACTAGATAGGGCTTTGATACCCGAAGTCCTTATGGAGAGGGATTCCCAACTCCCTCTCTCCTCCTTGCCTTCAATACTCCAACAAGTGTCTTCAATAAAGGTTTGTAATGTTCATTTATCATTCAAATTTGTGCTTTATATTTCTTATTATTTTTTGTATGTAAAACTATAGTTATTATCTATAAAATGTAGTTTTTGTTAATACTTTTGGGTGTCTGAAATGGATTAATTGGATTTACATTCTTTCTTATGGGAAATATTTCAGATTTTGGCCTTTTTGGATTTAGGCTGACCTTCTGGAATGGATTATGGCCGATAACCAAGGGTCCAATATACTTAAGGGGAAAATCATCATTCTTTCCAAACATTCCTTACAAAGGAAGGAAGCAACAATCACTTGTGTGACAGCCAAACAGAATGTGGAAGTTTATCACAAATATTTCAAATGTTTTAGGCAATTGTAATGTTGGAAAAAATCCTACATGGGATAGGCTCTCAAAGAAGAAAGACATCAGATGTGTAGATGCTTTAATAGAAACTGTCAGCAATGCCCAGTATTTCTCTTACTTTTGAAGTCATCTGATACATTGAAAATTGGACGTGACCACATCGATATGAGTCTGCCACAACGTTCTCGATTCTGCTTCAATTCTTTTGGGTGCTTGTAGAGATACATGATAGCTTTGCCTATACCTGAGGTCTTCAGCATATCTTGTGATAGGGGTGGTAACTGTAAACAAATATTAGATAATTAGTGAACAGTGATTCATTCCTTATATACCATAGGCAAAATAAATCAACACACATGTTTAACACAATATATTTTATCAAGATTATTAATCATGGGGGAGCGCTAAACTATTTTATCAAGAAAATAGAGAATATAGAAAAGCCAAAAGTAAAGTGTACTATGTACATTGTAAAATGATGAATAGATTAAAGGTATTCGGTGTTTGCTAGTCATATACATTACTACAGTATCTATTTCACCCAAGTAAACTCTGATTTAATGGGCTAATAGGTAAGGGCTAGTGGTCAGTAATAGATATTATAATTGATGAAGATGAGTGATAGTAACAATAATGACAAGTCTGTAACCAACAAACTACAGTGGTACTTTGACTTACGAGTTTTCCGAGTTACGAGCAATCACTCGGTTGATTTTTTGCTTTGAATTGCGAGCCAAAATCTGAGTTACAAGCGAGCTTCTGATACGCCATCACTAGCTGGCACAGCGAATGCCACAACAGTGCACATAGTTACCTCACCATGGAAGCATCTCTGTTTTGTGCTTGCATTTTGTGCAGTTATTTTGCCAAATTTCTTTTTTCTAACCATGGGTCCTAAGTAAGTGCAAAGGACAATTCTGAGAAGAAGAGGATGAAGATGTCCATTGAATTAAAGCATGAAATCATAGAAAAAGACGAGCAAGGCGTGCATGTAGTTGACTTGGTGAGGCTGTACAAGCATAGTATGTACTCTGTGCCTCTCCAGAGAAGGCATGAGGCATTTATGCTGATTTACTTCTGAGATATTCACTCAAAACGTAGGCTGGTCTCCTGCCTCGGGGAAAAAAAAAATTCTGAGAAAAATTGCTTTTGTTTCAGTGTTTTCCCTATGAAACTAGTGATCTAGTGCTGTTAGCTTCTCAAACACTCCATTTTCTCTTATAAGACCTCAGAAGAGCAAGAATGGGAAGATATGGTCAGAGCAATAATTATTTTTGCCTCAGGAGTGCCTGCCACCGCTTGTCACAATGACATTTTATTCATTCTAGAGTATATATCATGTTTCTATGTTATTTATATTATTTATTATGTCATATTAGATAAATTTTGATAAATAAATAAGCCGTAGAGTTGATAGCGTTATACTGAAGTATTTTTTCCTGCCTCCCAAGAGCCAGGAATTCCACTGGAACGGATTAATGGCATTTCAATTACAGTGGACCCCTGGTTATTGGCCGGTTTGGTTATCGGCCAACCTGGTTATCAGTGGGTTTTTCGGCACCTGGTTATCGGCCGTTCACTTGGTTATCGGCCGTTTTGAATGTGTCCATCCGCTGGCTGGGGCAGCTTGTGCTTCAATTTGGCTTTGTCTCTCGGTGGCTGAGGAAGCTTCTGCTCATACATCCAAACATTTCGCTTGTTTACCATTGTTTTTAGTGGTTTTTCCTGCAGTGCAACTGTGAAATAAGTAAAGATGGCTCCAAAGAAAGTTCTACTAAAGTGAGAAACACCAAGGAATTTAAGCGTGAAGTGATAGAAAAGTTTGAGAGTGGTATGAAGGTGGTGGAACTTGCCAGGATGTACAGCAAGAATAAATCAACAATTACATCCATCCTGGCAAAGGAAGAACAAATCAAAGATGCTAATGTTGCAAAAGGAGTAACTTTTCTAACTAAACAAAGGCCACTAATAATGGAAGAGATGGAAAAGTTATTATTATTGTGGATTAAGGAAAAAGAATTAGTGGGAGACAGTGTTGTGGAGTCAATCATTTGTGAGAAGGCAAAGCAGCTGCATGAGGATCTTGCAAAGAAAATACCTGGAACAAGTGCTGCAGTTTGTGAATTTAGCACCAGCAAAGGATGGTTTGATGGATTTAAGAAGCGTAGTGGCATACACAGTGTTGTAAGGCATGGTGAGGCTGCAAGTTCTGACAAATATGGAGCTGAAAAGTATGTTCATGAATTCCAGGACTATGTAAAGGCTGAAGGATTCGAACCACAACAAGTGTTCAATTGTGACGAAACAGGCCTGTTTTGGAAGAAAATGCCAAACAGGACCTACATTACCCAGGAGGAAAAGGCACTGCCAATCCTATGAAAGACAGGCTTACTTTTGTTGTGTGGTAATACTCATGGGGATTTCAAAGTGAAGCCTTCACTCAAGTATCACTCAGAAAATCCCAGTGTGTTCAAGAAAAACAATGTCATGAAAAATAGATTGTGTGATGTGGAAAGCTAATCTTAAGGCATGGGTCACAAGGCAAATTTTCAAAGAGTGGGTTAATGATGTGTTTGGCCCAAGTGTGAAAATACCTCCTGGAAAAGAAATTGCCACTCAAGTGCCTCCTGGTACTGGACAATGCTCCTGCACATCCTCCAGACTTGCAAGACCAAGTGTTTAGGGGACTTCAGTTTCATCACAGTGAAGTTCTTGCCTCCTAACACCACTACTCTCCTGCAGCCCATGGACCAGCAGGTCATTTCTAACTTCAAAAAACTATACACAAAAGCAGTGTTTCAAAAGTGCTTTGAAGTGACCTCGGACACTCCATTGACCCTAAGACAGTTCTGGAGGAATCACTTCACTTGGGAGAGTGTGACTTCCAGGACTCTGAACTCTGCCTGGAGAAAACTGTAGCCAGATTGTGTCCAAGAGAGGGATTTTGAAGGGTTTGGGGCTGACCCTGACCCTGCTGACCCTGTGGACTCTACTGTGGCACTGGGAAAGTGCCTGGGGTTGGAGGCGAGTGGCGAGCATGTGGAAGAGTTGGTGGAGGACCAAAGGGAAGAGCTAACCACTAAAGAGCTGCAAGAGCTTCATCTTGAACAGCAACAGACTGCAGCTGAGGAACTTGCTTCAGAGGAGGAGGAAGAGGAGTGAAGGAGGTGCCTTCTTCAGAGATTAAAGAGGTGTGTGCAATGTGGACTAGGGTGCAAGCTTTTATAGAGAAATACCACCCTGACAAAGCTGAAACAAACCATATCTGCAACATGTTTAGTGACAAAACCCTGTCCTACTTCAGAGAAATCTTAGAGAGATGCCAGAAACAGAGCACCCTGGACAGTTATTTTGCGAGACGGGTCCAGTGACTCTCAAGCTGGTCCTAGTGGCATTAACCCTTTGACTGTTTCCGACGTATAAATACGTCTTACGAGCCAATGTTTCTGACGTATTTATACGCATAAATTCTAGCAGCTTCAAATCAAGCAGGAGAAAGCTGGTAGGCCCACATGTGAGAGAATGGGTCTCCATGGTCAGTGTGCACCATATAAAAAAAATCGGGGAGCCAGTGGTGCATTGTGGGAATGCCATTTCAGTTGTCCTTTTTCAGCATGTCTAGCGGTAAGAAATATGTGATTCCCCAGCAAATCTGGGACTCTTCTCTTCCCAAGTGATGCTCTAACACAGATGGAAGTGTCAGTGAAGATCAATTTCATGATTTGGAGGAGTTTGAGACCAAAAGCAATGGAGGAGGAGGAGGGGAGGAGGGGAGGAAGAGGAGGAGGAGGAGGAGGAGGAGGAGGAGGGAAGGAAGAGGAGGAGGAGGAGGAGGAGGAGGAGGAGGAGGAGGAGGAGGAGAAGAGGAGGAGGAGGAGGAGGAAGAAGAAGATGTAATAATATTGTTCCCTTGAAGCAAGAAAAAAAAAAGTCCACCCCATGACAGTGACAAGATAAGGGGAGATAACATCTGATAAAGCTGACTTTGATGAGCGTAAAGGAGGGTAATATTACATGACCATCGCCCTCCCTTTGTTTTTGCTGGTACACAAACATTTGTCTGTCTGTCTATTTGTCTGTCTGTCAAGCTCCCTGTCTGTCCATCTAGCTCTCTGTCTCAGAGAGAGCCACAAGACTGTGTCATCACGTTTACTCACATCTTCAAGCAGAGTATAGCACTTTGTCTGGATTTCTTGGGTTATCCTAGGTAATTTACACTATGTATACTTGTATTTATGTGTACCTGTGAGACAGAGATAGGCAGACAGATAGAAAGAGAGACAGATTGAAAGATATAGAATGAGGGAGAAAGATAATTAGATAGAATGGAGGAGGGGAAGCAGCATCCGACCCCATTGTTTTGACAGGCTGTAGGGGTAGTGACTAATGAGACAATATGTCACTTTGACAGCTGCCGACTTCTGACTCAAAACAATTATAAGCCACACACTCGCACACAAGACAAGGAGGAGGAGAAGGAGGAGGAGGAGGAGGAGGAGGAGGAGAAGGAGAAGGAGAAGGAGAAGGAGAAGGAGAAGGAGAAGGAGAAGGAGAAGAGAAGGAGAAGGAGGAGGAGGAGGAGGAGGAGGAGGGAGGAGGAGGAGGAGGAGGAGAAGGAGAAGGAGGAGAAGAAGGAGGAGAAGAAGGAGGAGGAGAAGGAGGAGGAGAATGAGGAGGAGAAGGAGGAGGAGGAGAAGGAGGAGGAGGAGAAGGAGAAGGAGAAGGAGGAGGAGGAGGAGAAGGAGGATGAGAAGGAGGAGGAGGAGGAGGATGATTGTTTGTTTGTTTTTGTAAACAAGTTTTGTAAACAATATATTGATAATTATGTTTGTGTGCTTATTGTGTTGTATACAATGAGTGTATATATATACATTGCACCTTACTTTGGTCTCATAGGCCACATAAGTTATGTGAAAAAATAAAATAGTGAAAAAAACAAAAAACCTTCAATTACAAGTAAACTAAAGTTTACCGGGTGAGCGGCAGTCGCCACTGTTGCCATATGCGTTGCCATATGCGGCTCATTTTCTGCAAACTTCACGGCTCTATATCTCGGTAAGTACCGATGGCAAAAATTTTTTTTTTTGGACTAAAACACTCAGAAAAATAATCTTAACATTTTCATAAGAAAAAATAATTTTTTTTTTTTTTGAATATTTGGCGACATAGAATGACAGTTTCAGAGAGGGGCCTGAAACAGTCAAAGGGTTAAAAGAAGGGAAGTAACCCCGGAAAACGACTTGCTACCTCAAGTCCTAATGGAGGGGATTCCCCTTCTAAA